ACCATTTCACACTAGGGCTCTTTAGGTTCAAATCCTAGCCCCTACCAATTCTGAAAGGTTCCTGTGTGGTGCAAATGGTTTGCCCTTGGCTGTTAACTGAAAGATTGGTATTTTAAAACCACCCAGCAGCTCCATGGAAGAAAGGCCTGGTGATCTAGTTCCACAAAGATTATAGCCATTGAAAACTCTATGGAGCGCAGTTCTACTCTGCAACACATGGGGTTGCCATGAGTTGGAGTCAGCTCAAGAGCAACAGATTTTTTTGTTTGTTTGTTTTTTTATCAATTCTGAAGCACCTCTGCAAAGGCATCAAGCTTCTCTAACTTGCAGTTATCTCACATGTAACAACGTGCATCTCACAAAAATGTGGGGATTAAGACAATCCACATAAAGCACATAGCACAAAGTCTAGCAAAATGAAGCACTCAATCACTGGCAGTTTTTTTTTTTTTTTCCTGTTGAAGATGGTCAATAAAAATAAAGGTAAGTAAAATTATAATGCAAACTTATTCCCTTTTTCTTGGGAAGCTGATTAGTAGTTCTAAATAGAAATCATACCTGCTAAGCATATTACCTATAGTCTACTATTTAAAAAAAAAAATAAACAAATCCCAGTTGAGACCCTAAAGCAGAAAAGGGGTTAGTTAAACTGCTGTCAAAATGAACAGCTGTTCCTCAGAGGAAGCTACAAGATCATGAAACTTCTCCCCCTTGGTCTACATGGCTTGAGGCAGCAGGCTGGAACAGATGTTCTTTAGCTATTGTAACAAGGCTCTCACAGAGCAAAAAAATAAACCTGAAGAGTTATATCTATACAAATTAGTTGTAACACTGATGAGTAATTGTATGAGTTAGTAAAAGGTAAAATAAAGGGCTTTGAATAAAAGTGAGCCAGCCTTTAATTGCTTAAGTTTAAATTCTCAGGCAATCCTACAATATAAATGATAAATAAGTTATTCACAGATGGAATTACTATTACACATAGAAGTGACCACATTTTTATTTTTTGGGGGGGTTGGGTTTCAAGTTAGTCCTGTTTAAAACAGTTATAGTAGCCACACATTTAACAGGAGTGAATACAGTTCAGCCATATATGGCAGGGACTCCAGAGCCAGACTACCTGAGTTAGTGTCCCAGCTCTATCACTCACTAGCTGTATAATGCAAGCAAGTCACAATCCCTCCACGCCTCAGTTTCCTCATCTGTTAAATGGGAGCAGTAACAGTACACATAACCTGATGGGGTTATTGTAAGGATTAAGCAAATGAATACAGGTAAGGGTCTTACACTAGTACTTGGCATTTGGTTGGCACTATCTAAGTATCAGCTATTAAACATGTCACCGATTACAGACAGAGACATCTGTTATTCAACAGATGCATCTATTACATGCCATGAACTGCATTAGAGACACAAAGGTAAACAAGAAAGACACAGGTCTTACTAGAGAAAGCAGAGTCTGAGGAGAGATCAGAGGATGAGTATGAGAATTTAGCTTAGCAATGTAAGGAAAGAGTGCTCCAGGCATAGGGAACAGTGAGCAGAGAGGCCTGGACTTGAGAGAAAACATTGCATGCAAAACTGCCATGGTTGGCGGTGGGTTTGAAGTGAGGATGGTGGTTCCAACCCACTTACATGTAATACAAAATGCATCTTCACCTATGGTCAAATTTGCTCATTCACGACTAGGTGTATACCTCAATATCAGTGAATACAGTAACAATGTAAACATCTTTTAACAGTATTTTTTATAAAAAAGAAAATTGTCTATTATATTTATGTGGCTTTCCAGATTAATTAAAATTCAACACATTAAAATTCCATATCTGTAGCTACAGACCTAATTTTTTTCATACTGACTCATTCAAATTAACCTAGTTTCCAAAATTGAATAAGAATTAAATAACCACTTAAGAGATCACAAGACTCTGAAAAACAAGATATTTATCTGCCATAATCTGAGTTGGTGGTGAGTGTTTAGAATTGTTTATGATGGGGTTGGTTTTTGCAATCTTGACACCTGAGTTTTTCCAAAGATTGTCTAAAATTCAAGCAGTACAACTATACATGTAGTCCCCAGCTAACAACACATTCCAGTCAATGAAGAACTTGTGACCGTTTTTTTTTTTTTTTGGTACGTCTCATTGTTACTAATATGTATTATATACAATGTTGCAGAGCATAATTTGCTGGTGTTGTCATTCTCAGATGTTCATTCACAGATGGTCAATGTTATGATTTATAAAGATACTGATTATAAAACCACTGCTGTCGAGCCGATTCTGACTCATAGCGACCCCATAGGATTTCCAAGGCTGTAAATCTGTACCGAAGCAGACTGCCACATCTTTCTCCTGTGGAGCTGCTGGTGGTTTCAAACCACCGACCTTTCAGTTAGCAGTCGATTGCTTTAACCACTGTGCCACTAGGAGGCAATAATAATGAAAACAAAAACAAGGTATTCGACTTACATCAGAAATGACTTACAACGGAGTAGTTGGGACAGAACCCCATCGTATTTAGATAAAAAAAAAGGAAAAACAGAGAACAATAACATACCTGTGCAAAATTTTCACCACCTTGGATATAACACTTTCTCTTCCAGATTTCTTTATGCTTATTTTATCCTAAAGAAAATTTCATCTCCAAATTTTAATTAGATGAAAAATGTTTCTTATAGTTAGCTCTAAAGATTTTTAAGTTAATAAAGTATATGTGGGTGTACGTGTGTGTGATAGCACCTGCTTCTAGGATCCATGCAAACTTTGAAGTAGACAAAGTATAGCTATCATTCTATTTACCCTTCTTTCTTGAGTCACTCTCCTATTCAAACACTTTCTCCCTCTGCACACCACTTAATAAGAGAAATGTCATGCTACCGACAGAATGCCCCAAACCCTCTGTTCCTGTTGGATCCCAAGAAGATTTGAAAGAAGACCTGGATTCAAATCCCAGCTCGGTAACTTACTAACAATATGGCCTTTGTCCCATTAGGAAATCTTCCAAACATCAGTGGTCTCATTTGTTATACATAACACAAACTATATAGAATACAGGAGCAGTCTAACATAGCATTGAAGAGGCACTGGAGGAAGACCGCATCAGTTCAGTTTCTAGTTCACCCTTTTATAACTGTACGACATTAAGCTAGATATCTTCCATCACTGATTCTCAACTTCCTCATTTACCACAGAGAGATGGTTAACAGTGAAAAGATGTAGCGTTACTGTGAAGATTTACTGAGATAATACATGTGAGGAATTTAAAAGAATGCCTGGTTCATAAGAAATACTCAATATATGATCCAAAAAACCAAACCCAATGCTGTTGAGTCGGTTTTGACTCATAGCGACCCTATAGGGTTTCCAAGGAGTGGCTGGTGGATTCAAACTGCTGACCTTTTGGTTAGCAGCCATAGCTCTCAATCACTGTGCCATCAGGGCTCCCAATATATGATAAGTATTAATATTTCATATATCCATCTTAATACTTTTATGTATACTTTATTAAGTAACTGCCAAGTGCCAGGAACTATGATAAACATTTAATATATATTCTCTCATTTAATACTTAAACACTTTTATGAGAAAGGACTTAACATCTCTTTTTACAAATAAGAAAATCATGACTCAGGGAGTTTAAGTAAGTGTTAAGCCATATAACTAACATGGAATCGACACCTAGCTCTTTCAGACTCCAAAACCTATGCTATTTCCACTAAGCCATGCTGTCTTATAAAATGCTATAAAAATTAAATTATTATATAGCATGTGACACATACAATAGAAATGTCTCGAGTACAATTAGTATCCAAATTCACTTCTGTATTAAAAAAATAATTTAAAGAATCATTTTGAATTTGTGGGAGAAAACAAGTCAGAGCTGTGGGCAAACATGTACTTACTGAAGATTAGTTTTTCTTTAAAATATTGAATTTTTTTTATTCAAACGCTAAACCAAAGCCACTGCTGTCGAGTCGATTCTGACTCATACCAACCCTGTAGGTTTTCCAAGGCTGTAAATCTCTACAGAAGCAGACTGCCACATCTTTCTGCCAGGGAGCTGCTGGTGGTTTTGAACCGCCAACCTTTCAGTTAGCAGTCCAGTGCTTTAACCACTGCACCACAAAGGCCAGATAATCATAAATAAGTAATTATAACAAAGTTTAATAAATTCAGCAAATAAATTACCTGAGATTAAACAGAACCAGTTTTTGAAATTCAACCTTCTTTCTCTTTACACCTCAAAACTTTTTAATCTACAGTAACATTTGCTGAAATACAGAAATGACTTACCCATCTATTAAGAGTAACATAATTTGTCATTGTAGAAATGTATCACCAGTTTCCCTAGGGAGTCAACAATGCCTTCTCACTTTAATACGTGTGGGGTTCCCTCCCCCTACCCCATCTAATCAGCTAATACTTTTCAAAAGATCTTTTTAATACCTAAATGAAAGGATTCCACATCAAAGACCTGACCTCCCTATTAAAATATCTAAAGGAAACCCTAGGAATGTAAAATCCATTCACAGGAAATCACAGGTAGCTTATTGAACAATGCATTAAGAAAAGAAAAGGGGAAAAAAGCTTCACAAGAGCTGCAGAGAATTTGGTAAAACTGTACTACAAAAATACAAATTTATCTTAAGTATAAAGAAACAAATTCATAGCCAAAAACTTATGACAAAGGTGCTCTGCAGTCAGCCGGGAGGGGGGCCTGTATGAAGAACTTCAGAATTTGTCACTTTTTCAATCAAAATTTCTGATTACAGCTTAATGTTAGAAAGACCAAAAAGAGAACAAACCACACATTTTCCAATAGATTTAAATCTGAAAATTTTAAAGCAAACTGTCAACATCAGGAAAGGTAGGTTTACTACAGGCAACAAGAGTGGAATGGAGTAATGAAATAAATCAAAGGAACAACAGGCAATATATTATAGATAAAAGTACTTTTTGGAAAACAAATACACACGTATATATATTTTTTAAACATACCATGAATGTGGTTCTGAAGTTATTCAAGTCGGTCAAAAAGTCTTCCACGGACACCTTCTTCACATCAATAGCATAGTATTCCATTATACTCTGGTATAAATTTTCCATGTTCTCGTGTAATTTGGAAAGTTTCTCATATTGCTCTTTTGCACTGATAACAAAGCTGTATATTACAGTTAAGGTATTCTGAAATTTACAAAGTAATGCTTTAAGACAAAAACCTGGAAATCCAATGTTTTAGTCTACTTGTTAGGCACCATTACAATATTTCCAAAATTCCAAAATTACCTTTCATAGGTAACCATTCTTATAAGTTAGTCTATATTGTGCAGCAATACAATCTTAAATTCAGTTTCTAATCACCTTTAGCAAAATTATCAGAAAACTCAAATGTTTCAGTATTTAATATTTCTTTATAATTGAGTTCAAGGAAATTTTTCTTCCATATTGCCTATCTCTATAATCTCAGATGATACAATGTGATTTAAAATTATTACAGTTCAGTAGTTTCCACTGATAATTGCAAGATATTGACCTCAACAATACAGTCATCAAGCACAGCAGTTAAACTGGATAATGTGCTGTCAATTTCTAGCTTTTACACTTGATAGTAGTATGGCCATGGGCAAGTTCCTTCATCAATTTCTACATTTGTAAAGATAGAATAATATCACCTAATTAGCAGGGCTGTAGTAAGCACTAAATGAGTTAAAATATGCAAAATTCTTACAAAAGGGACTGGCATTTACTAAATACATAAAAATACCTGGTATTATTATTACTCACTTATTCATTTTAAGCTTTATTTAGATTCTAAAAGCTATTAAAAATAAATTTTTAAGAGTTAAATAAAAAACTTCTTATATTATGTAAGTAAATGAATGTTTCCACTTCTACCTTGGAAAATTGGTATGTAATTTCTTCCACGCATTATGTAATTTAAAATTATTACACATACACACACACACTTGTACACTATGTCCTTCTTTCACTTATTGTTTTTCTTGTTAGTTGCCATCAATTCTAACTCATGGCGACTCCATGTGTGCAGAGTAGAGCTGCATAAGGTTTTCAAGGCTGTGACCCTTCGAAACCAGATCCACCAGCTCTGAGGCACCTCTGGGTAGGTTTGAACCGCCAACCTTTCAGCTAGTAGTCGAGGAACTCCTTTGTAACAACATACCAAAAAACCAAACTCTTTGCCATCAAGTTGATTCCAACTAACAATGACCCTATAGGACAGAGTAGAACGGTCCCATAGGGTTTCCAAGGAGAGGCTGGTGGATTCAAACTACTGACCTTTTGGTTAGCAGCTGAGCTCTTAACTACTGCACCATCAGGGCTCCATAACAATAAAGTCAAGAGCAAACAGAGATAGAGAAGACTAATTTAAGGTTAATGTGATATCACCAAAAAAAAAAAACAAACCCATTGCCTCAAGTTGATTCCAACTCATAGCAACCCTATAGGACAGAGTAGAACTGCCCCATAGGGTTTTCAAAGAGCAGCTGGCAGATTCGAACTGCTGACCGTTTGGTTAGCAGCCACAGCTCTTAACTACTGCGCCACCAAGGCTCAGTGATAGTTGTAGGGCATTAGAAAACATTTTTTAAACAAACCATTGAATTTCTTTTTTGGTACAACAAATTGCTGACACAGTTGATACAGAGCATCAGTCACAATTGTGTATGGCTTTCATAATAAGTGGGACATTTGAAGAGGTGGAATATACAAAATTAAATTTACTGAATTCATTTTATTATCTTTGACTAATACAAAAGTATAAACAGACATTAGCAAAATTAAAAAAGAAAAGTCAATAAAAAAAGAGTAATTGGATTCAGGCCAAGAGAAAGAAACCAAAAATGGAATGTTTGTATCTAGAGAGAGCAATCTTCCACAATTTCTAAAAGATACAGTTCCTTTGGTCAGAGCTTTCCCCAATGGAGAATGAAATAAGAAAACTGATCTAAGCCCTTCATTTTGAAGAGAAAGAAAATTAAAAACCAAGGAAGAAAGAGGCAGCACTGCTTCCAGATAAATAGTGAATCCAGAGCGCTAGCAATCATAGAATTCTGTTAGAATTCAGCCTCCCCACGAGGAACTAAGGCATCCTAGTCAATCACAGCTTACATGAACTCATGTCAACAGTCAGTCCACAAATTACTTATTACCTTTCCATGACTGTTGCTGCTGTTTTGTATTATGCTCTGCGTGGTGATCTATATAGTATTTTAGAAGGAAGAGTGGGCTAGAAGGCAGGGAATTGGGATTCTAATTCAACAGCTGATTTTTTTTACGACTTAAAGAAAATCCACGCATCTTTCTGTGGCTCATTTATTAATCTGAATAGCAAAATGCTTCCTAACTTTTTCTAGAATCTGGATCATAGTAGCGCTAGTGATTATTGCATTTATATGAGATCATTTCTTAATCTTCAGTGAATAACAAAAGATTTTACATAATTAGTCAACTGAAAAAATTAGAATGTAACATAAGACAGGTTTCCATATATTTTACCTTATGAAATGTCCATATTCCTGAAACAAACTCACATTTGAAATATATTCAGAAACTAACATTAAATGGAACATATGATGCTTCATTTGTACTGTAATATAAGCATTCTCTAATTTACCTAATAAGTTCAGAAATCAATACTGGTTTACAAATTTGTTTTCCTATGTAATCTATGGACTGTCATCTAAAGTGATAGAGGCTATATCCACGTGAATTATTTATATTTTCTCAATCCTGTTTAAACGAGAAATTGCATCTATCTAAGCTTGTCCAAACCTATCATTCAAAGCTTTGTTCAAGTGTTCCTTTCCATGAAGCTGAGAGTGATCATTTGTTCCACTCAAAACATAGCATTTGTATCCATTGTACTAAAATGGAAATTCATCAGGCATATTCTTACTCCCAAACTATAATGAAGTTGTGATTTTTCCCCTTCTAATCTAATTCCAAGGAGTCCTGGTGGTGCTGTGGTTAAGCACTTGGCTGCTACCCAAAGGCTGGTGGTTCAAACCCAACAGCCACTCCTTGGGAGAAAGATGTGGCAGTCGGATTCCATAAAGATTACAGCCTTGGAAACCCTATGGAGGCAGTTCTACTCTGTCCTAGAGGGTCTCTATGAGTCGACAGCAATGAGTTTTGAGTCGAATTCCCTAGGTGTGCTTTTTTCATTCATAACTCTGGCAAATGTGGTTACCTCTGACAGTCCATTCTCTCGATGCTGTGTTCCACCTTCTTAGCTGTGTTAAGGCTAATCATCTGCAACTACATTGGTGCCAATGACTTACTCTTAAACTTTGGTGAGAGGTCTAACAGGTCACTTCAAAAGTCTGATTAAAGTTTTGGAACTTCTGTTCATAAAAAATGCACACACACACACACACACGCACGCGCGCGCACACACACACACACACTTGGATGTAATACTGAAAGTTAAGAGGGCCCCTGAATCATATTTATCCTAGACAAGAAGTGAAGGACACCACTTTGGTGGGTGCTTCTCTAGCTGCTAGTTATCTGCCCATCACATTGCTGATAAGGCTCTGTGTTTCAATAAAAGGCACTTCATAAATACCAGTTAATTTTATCATAACACCAGGGAATAACCCCATTCTCATGAATCCATTTGGTAAAAAGTTAAGATAAAGCTGTAAGTATTACCCAATAACATTTTTTTTTTTTTAGATTTCCAGATAAGAATCACAAGTAATGAAACATCAGAAACATGCCTGTGCATATTTAACAGAAACATTACGATTCTATTAAAAGATATAATGGAAAAGATGACCAAGAGTCAGAACCATGGAAATGACATGGTCTTGTTCTAACAGCAAGAGAGCTTTTAATTTTCTTATGATTGTTATCCATAAAACAATGTGCTCCCAAAGGAAATGAAGTGGAGTTTTTGAATAACTGGAATTACTCACAAGAATGGTAAAATTGTGATTGAACTGAAACAATTTTGGAAACAACCAAATTAATCCTTAGGAGTTTAAAATGATTGTCTGAGAGGATGGAATAACTGGTTATGTGAGTGAGGCACTCTGCATCTGCATTGACAGGCTACTCTCTCATTAAGTCATTGCTTGATGATGATACATTCAGATAAAGAATCATCATCATTATCATCATCCACAAGAAAAAACAACAGTAGATGTTCTTGTGTCAACTGTTAAGCTCCAGATAAAAGCAAAGTCCATGTTAGTAGTAGTTAGGCTTTACTTTTCTTCTCCCCAGTATCAAGTTCTATATTTGCAAAGAGTTTTAGAGAAATATGTGAGATATTCAACAAAATAAACATTTGATGAAATTTATTACAAACATATCAATGTATGTCCAATTATTTTATGTTTTTGCAAAATCTATCTTCTTTTCCTTTACCAAGAATAAAGCCAAATTCTCAGTAATTTCTACTTGAAGCACTATAACATTCCCCTTTGAAACCAGTTCTGTGTTTAAACACATTGTACCACAAGTATTTAGGGTTGGCCAACTAAGTAGCAAACTAAGATTTGGAACTCCAAAGGAGATTATTCTTCTGATAAGCTAGTATTGCTCATTCCCAAACCACCTACTACAAATAGATTCTATATTAATTGTTAGTTCTTGTCCTCATGGTTTCACTTCCTCCACCAAGGATGTCCATTACTTCATTAACACATCTTATAAGGACTAACTTCAGTTAGTCCTCGTGTCTAGTACCTTGTATGGATCTTCTTAAGACCCAGGATCCATTCATCCTACATTCATTCATCTCTTCATGCAATAAGTGTTCATTGAACTCTACTGTATTCCAGACACTCTTCTAGGCACTAGGGGAAACAGTAGTGAACAAGATAGGCAAAGTCCTGGCTTTAATGAGCCATACATACATTCTAGGGTGTGGAGACAGATAATGAAGAAGTAAATGGGATTTTTCAGGTAGTGGTAAGTATAACAAAGAAAATAAAAGTTTGTGATGTTCTATAGAGTGATGGGGGCTAGGGTGGGTAGTCATAAAAGTCCTGGTTAAGAAGGTGACACTCAAGAAAAACAACTAAAGATTTGACTATAAAAGTCAGATCAGTGAGCATTAAGTTGTGTAGCACTGTCTGTAAATGTAGTACGACTTCAGAGAAAGAAAAGTGCATTACACATTTGAGTATGTGTAGAGGATGAGGGACAGGATATTTAACCTGAGCCAAAAAGTTTGTTAAGAGCAGAATAAATGGAAGTCAAGAGGGGAAGAACAGAAGGAGAAAGAAAGGAGACAGTAAGAAGACTAATTCAAGAGAAGAAAAATCTACTATTACAAACCACCCAATTAGCCAACTTCCCACCTTTGCAACTAGGCCATGTCCTATAAACATTTATATTTCATTCATCCCGCCCTTTTATTTTACTTTCTAACCATAGTTCAGTTAAAGAAAAATGTGTGGAGCTGCCTTACCTGCAGTATGCTGTGTTTCGTGCAGTGTGAAATATAGAATAAAATATAAGTTTTCATCTCAAGAAATTTACGGGGATGGTTTTAGCATCTACCAGTAATTTCAGAAGTTCATAAGACATTGCTATAAAGTGGAAAAAACAAAAGCAGAAAGCCTGAAAATAAACTGCACTTCTGAAGAAGAAATTTAAAGATTATAACATAGAAAAGAGTTAAGTAAGTTGTCATGTAAGTTGTGACAAATACAGAAATATATAAATGTCTACCAAAATAATTTTTTCTAAGAAACTCAGGAGAGTCGGGCAGGAAAAGAAGAAAATAAAAAAGGCAAATACTTATGCAAGGAGAATTTCAGGAGTAAAGTTCTAGGATCTATTTGTTTTTTTCCTTAAAATAAGAAAAATCCCAGAATCTTAAAGGTCAGAAGAAATGAACAGGCACTGCATGACACAATGCTAGCATTTTCCTAATTTTCTCACCAGTAAGAAATTAATTAGCATGTCACATATAATAGTTTGTATATACCAATATTAGTGACCCTACTTCAAATTTGTGTTATGCATTTTTCAAGCATATATTTACAGTGGAACTATTACACTCTACTTACATTTGTACCAGGCTTAACAATTGGAAAGTAACATGATTATTACCAAAAAGTCAATGTGTTATGTATAAAATAATTGCATATACCTTTTAAAGGATGCACTAAATTCATTTTTTTTTTTTTTACATCACAAAGTGTATGTAACAAAAGAGTCTGCACTGGAAGTATAAAAATACAACATAATAAAATTGAATGCAATTATTGAAATTCCATATTATAACAAAATTACATCAATTACAATTTATAAACAATTCAATTAACAGATTGGTTAATAGTTTACTAAATCATCATTATTTATATATAGAATTGTAAAACTGCCTCCCTAATCAAAATACACATATTCTTTCAGAACTGGTTGATGAACCAAATATTTGAAATGTGCTTCAACTAACAAGCAATTAAATTTAAAACATAAACTAAGTTTGAGTGTTAATAATCTAAACTTTAAACACATTTTTATTCATTGTGCATTTTCGTTTCCAAATTCTTTCATTTTCCAAGATCTGGGAAGCTAACAATTTGGCATTTTAATAAGATCTGTATAAATGCATTTAATATTCAAAATCTGACTTGTTGTCAGTCCTAATTAAAGTAAACAAAGCTTTGCAATGAATGAATTTAATTACTTCGAAACTAGTATGTCTAACTAGATGAAAAGCAAACGAGTGCAATCTAATCTCGGCAAAGAATATTTATGATTATAAGCTTTGTCAATAGCAAAGTGCACCAACTGTTCATATATCTGACTTCCAAGAGATACATGAATGCTAATCAGTTCATTAGAAGCTTCTAGTTTGTGATATTTAGCGACAGGATGGAGTAGCTTTCTTGTCCATGGAGTATAATTGTACTCAGAATGAAAAACTGTTTCCAGCAAAGCATCATCCTTCCTGTTTCTGATTTCTTGCTGGTTGCTTTTTATGAGCTGCATACCTTTCAAGAAGCCAACATCATTCAGCTGCTTGTGTCATATGAATACAAGTATAGATAGGTCCTGAGATGGTCTGCTGAGCAGGATTCTACAACCTTTACTCCTAGCTCAGGAATTTATCTTATGTGTGCCAGAATCCAGAGCTTCATAATTAGTGTATTCACAGTGGATTACCAGAAGCTGTATGCAAGTGGAACCTTTCCTAAAATGCTTTCTATCTATAGGGAACAATAACCAGTACTTCAATTAACACAACTCAATGATTGAAATAATGAAGTGTCACATATAATATTTTAACACGATAAAATGACTGAGGGAAAGAAATTATGAATGATGAAACTGATATAGCTCTACAATAACAAGTTTATTTTTAAAAAGCATAAGTTTTCAAATGAGAAGGTACTGCAAAAATATATTTTTGATAGATAAATATAGACTTCATCTTTAGTTTTTGTTTTTTTTTAAAAAACAATTTCTCTAACATATTTAAAATGGCCTAGTGATAAAGGCACCCTGCCTAATAGAAGAGGAAATGAGATGGGTAGGAAAGATACTAAAGGAAACAAACACATTAGCTTGAATTGATTGTTGCTGGAATGCCTTTTTATGGTATTTCCTAAAAGAGACAGTGAAGAAGCTAAAATTGAACTAACTCACAATTAAGATGAAAGTGTATATAATAAAATCTATGATAAACCAAGTAATAATCTTGATTCACCCAATCTCTGGGGATAGAAAAAAGAAAAGTAGTCATTTTATTTCAAGTACCTTAGTTTAAAATAAAATATCAGCAGTGACTATAAGAGTTCATTTTAGAAGTGGGTTATCCTTTCATATAGAACTCAGAAGTCCATCTGGAATTTTAATAATGCAGAGTAGTAATACTTTATTACAATGCAAAAGATACCAGCCTCTAATTTCACAGAATGGTTTGCAAAGCAATTCAACATTAGTTTCAGGAAATAAAGTTTATTACTTCAGTTACTCATTAGAGATTAAGCTACAAAGTTAGTGATAACAAAGATAATTGAATATAAAGGAAACTTAAATTAAACAGAGGGACATATGCCTGTTATTAATTAAAAATATGTGTATGTCTGTGCATTTTATTTACCTATATTTTATTTATTACCACCTATACAAGTGGTAATAGTGACAAATTCAATTCTGATTTTGGAACTATGCAGAATTCCTAAAGAAAATATTACATTTTCTGAAATATGAGTTAATCTCTAATATAAACTAGCCTTACAAAGTAAGCTGACTAGTGACACCAGCTTATAAAGTCTATATCTACTTCCTGAAACATTTTTAAACTATCCAAATCACACCATGACTTTAGATTCAAATTTCCTCAAATTCAGTTTTAATATTCTTTCAATGAGCCAACAATGTCAGGAGGAAATCACACATATGAAAGGAAAAAGATGAGAGAAAATATTATCATCGAAGCTGATAAAGAGAAAAAAAAAGAGTAAGAATCAACAGAAATACACTTGTGTATTATTCATGATATATAAACACTGTGATAAACTTCCATGTAATCAGGCAAAGGTTAAACCTTATACAATTTGGCACTACAGAATGATCTCTGGTTATGCAAATACATCTAAAACATTAAATAAATTGTAATTCTAGTTGACTGATAACTTAAGTTATTTAGATATCAAAAGGATATGGACATCTTTGTCACAAACTTGTCATGTGAGTCCTCAGGAGGGGGAAAGGTTTCCAAATCTTTCTCAAGCTGTTGAAGCTGCCTTCCCATCTGCTTCAAATTCTTTTCCAGCATTTCTACAGAGACTAAAAGAGAGCATATTAAATGCCTTGAAAGGACAAAGTTACAATATATAAAAGGTAAAATATGTCCGAAACAAAACATTGATTTAAAAAACTTCACAATAATAAAGAAAATATACTATAAAAAAAAGAAAGATGAATTGCATTAAGTTTAATTTTTTAAACTCTTTAAGTTTTAAATCTAGGAATAAAGGAAAATTAGTAAGAGATCCCTTAAAACATAAGAAGAATTTTAGGAGATGCTTGCATGAACAGACCACATTTAAGAAGTTTTGTTTAAAATTAGATTCCATGATCGCTACAATATAATTAGTCTATTCAGATAAAGAGTCAAAGAAAGACTATATTCTTCATAATTAAATCTATTTAAAGATAATTTTAACATTTTTAAAAACCATGACCTTTTGAGAGGGAGCAGTGAGTATATAGATATGGGGAAGATGGAGAAAAGTGCTCTCTAGGGTCCACGCTAATCTACAATACGAACGAAAAGGCATCAGAGTCTACTTGCAATGACATGTACAACAATGTCAAAAACAACCTTTTTGGAAATTTCTTTTAGGTTGAAATAAATTTTACTTAAAAAAAAAATTATCTTGCTTTCGGTCAATGTGATTTATACAGAATGATACTTTAAAAATGCATAAAATAATTCTAGGTAATGAAGTAAAATTTTAGAATTTGAATTTATCCTGAGGAACTAACCACAGATGTAGGAACTAACCAAAGACGTAAGTCAATTTTCACCATGGATGTAAGGCTGGGAACATCCTTGGAAGCAACCTAAATGCCTCACAAAATGGGACTGAGTTATATATATATGGTTTACAACCTTAGTTCAATAGAATGGAATAATAAGCAGACATGAAAAATAATATTGTAAAAGAATATGGAGTTTTTTGGTTTTATTTTTAACTAGTTATATCCAAGACAACATCCTCCATTTTAACAGCCATTAATAAATAACATATTTGCTATAAAGAAAATTCAGGTTAATTCTCAGACACAATGTTGAATGAGTCCAATGACTGACTCTTCAGAGAGCCACATATGATAGTTGTTGATGTCTAAAGAACGATGGTAGTTTAACCTTGGCTCCCACTGTCGTGAAGTCATTCTGAAGTTATACCCAGACATATTTTCTCGGTAGTTTTTGTTTCTCGTGTATCCTTTCTCTGTGCCTCTTAAAATTGAGGCAGTAACTCAGATAATGGATACATGAAATGTTTCCATCATGATAGCATTTAGTGTATCAATTCAGTCTATGTAACTCATGTCCTCAATATCTTGCATACACTGCTCATGGTGGTAATACACAGATCCTACGTTATGTTCTTTCATTTTTATTTCTGATTGTCAGTTATTCATAACCAAGACATCTATTTAACTAGGTCTATGGTATTGCATCTACTCTTCTCATTTCCATTTTTTTTTTCTTTTTTCAAAGTTCTCGGTCTGCATCAAGGAAGAGATTCCTTTTGTTCTTCTAGTGTGGTGCAATGAATTGTTTACATGGCCTTTCTAGTCATGGTCTTCTACCTCTCCCAAAATGATTGGCTGGGCCACAATCTTGCATGGGATTGGTCTGTTTACTATGCAAATTGAGTGACTTGAAGTCCACCAAGCAGACTGGATGCAAGATGAGTGACTCGCAGTCAACAGAGGGGACTGGTCAGTTTGTGGTCGTGGTAGGAGAGCCATGCCTTGAAATTGACAAGGAGTTTGCATATATAAGGGCCAATCCCACAGAGGTTCAGGGGGACCTCACTACCATCATGAAGTGCCTGGAGTGGAGCATGTTTCTTGGACCCAAGGTCCTTGTGCTGAGAATATCTTAGACCCAGAAGAAAGAGCTGTAACACTGAAGATGGTGCAAATGATGAGAGACAGTGATGGTGGGCTTGCCAGCCCATGGTGCAAGGCAGTTGCAATGGGCTTCCTGGTCCATGGAGCAAGGTGGCTATGGTGGGCTTGCCAGCCCATGGAGCGAGAGCTGAATGTCTTGAGGCAGGAGGCTTGCTGGCAGAGCTAAAAGAACTATATAACACTTGTCCATGAAGGGCAGAGGTTGGAGTGTGCCAGTGCAGGGGTTGCCTTGGAGGATCCTGTGCAGGGGTCTTCCTACAGCAGGGCATAACGAGATGCCTTTGGGTAGGAAGCTTGCAGTGGACTAAAAGAGCTGTATCACTTACTTGTGCAGGGAAAGGGGGGTCTGAGTGTGCCCCATGCGGGCGCTGCATGCTTCCCACCCTAGGAATTGGGGGCCCGCATAGCGTGGTGGCAAGAGAGTCCTGCAGGCCTGGGTAGCATGGCGGGAGCCAGCAGCAGAGGCCTGAGAAGGGCCCAGCAGCAAAGTGAGGACCTATAGAATGGTTGATAGCAGTGGGTGCAGGTGTCTCACTCCTAGAGTCTTATGCTGCTTGGAAGTTTGAGGCACAGCCTGCCTGCACATGTGCAATGCAGATAGACAGACATATACATACATCTAGTCTATCTGATCTCTCCTCTAATGGCTCATTAGCACTTCTATATTTCTCAAGAAATCTTACAGGTGGTTTGGCCACTTTCATACTTCTTAAAACTTTGAAACTTCTGATTAAATAAAGTTTCAAAAACATAAAATTATTTCACGAGGACAGTGTATGCTCAGAAAAATTTAACATTCATACATCAGATTTGTGTTGTGAATTAGGTTCATAAAAGAAGGCAGTATATTAGTAAAATAATAGTAGAAGTAACAGTAGTAGTAGTCATCATCATCATAGTAGTAGTAGTAATAGTAGTAGCTAAAATTTACTAAGTGCTTATGCATGTCACAGTCCCTGGGGTGGTGAAAATGGTTACGCACTTTGCTGCTAACCAAAAGACTGGCAGTTTGAATCCACCTAGAAACGTCTGGTGATCTACTTCTGAAAAGCCAAAAAAACCAAACAAAACCCATTGCCGTCAAGTCAATTCTGACTCATAGCGACCCTATAGGACAGAATAGAACTGCTCCATGAGGTTTCCAAGGAGCGGATGGCAGATTCAAACTGCCAAACTTTTGGTTAGCAGCCTGAGCTCTTAACCACTGCAGTACCAGGGCTCTGAGAACTCTATGAAGGACAGTTCTACTCTGAAACACATGGGGTCGCCATGAGTTGGAATCGATTACACTGCAACTGGTCTTTATTTTTTTAGGTGGGGGGGGGGGTGTATGTATGACAAGTAATGTCCTAAGTGTTTCCCATGAATTAACTCATTTAATTCTCACAAGAACATCACAAAGTAGGTATTGTTATTTTCCATGTTTTACAGATGAAGATACTGGAGCGGAGTGGGTAAGTAAAGGTTAAACAACTAGGAAGTAGTGAAGCCAGAATGTGAACTCAGGTAGTTTCATTCCAGACCTTACTTTTAACTATATTGTTTTATAGAAATTATCCTTTTACTTTAAAATCACTCCTTATCTGTCAATGACAGCAGTTAAATCAACAGACGTGGTTTTCACATAATGACTGGTTTCTTGTACAGTCTTGCCTAGTGCAATCACAAGTAATCCCACATATGGCTAGAGCCAGGGGAACATACCCAAGCATTCTGGATAGATGAATGGACACTTACACAGATACGCTAGTATAGATATAGTTTTTTTTTAAATGATCATTTAAAGTAATATCCCACCACTGAACAAAACCACATACTTAAAATACTATGTCTTAGTCTGCTTATCTAATTTCATTATGCACACACATCAAATTTGGAAAAAGTCCATACAGAGGAGGAACTCTGAGGGACACCCATATATTTAAGGTCCACATCATAAAGAGTAAGCAAGCTGTCTTATGAGTCTTGTGTCTACTCCACAGATGAAGATCCCACTAAGCCATTTCTTATGCTTCATCAGTGGCCTCTGATTACATTACATGTACATTATAGTTAAGTGGATTTAAGTGTAATTGACCCATCTTTCACTGTTGGTTTTTAAATAAGGACCAAAGCACACTTAGAAGAAAGGCATGTGCAAATTCTAGGCTAATAAAATATAACCTCACGTTCAGAGCCATCTGATGGGTAAAACTAAACCAAAGTATTTTAAGAATTTTCTTGTTTTGTTTTGGTTCTTATTACAATTATTATATTTCTATAAACAGTTCTTTTATGTATGTTCAAATACTTATAATTTTAGTTATATTTTTCGCATGTCTCAAGTTCTTTGAGGTCAGTGACTATATGTTTGTATCAGAAATCCCAACTAGAACAGCGAATTTTAAGATGTACACTCTCAAAGATGTGTCAATTGACTGGTGTCTCTGTATGTGACCTCTGAGTGAATTTTATCTTTCAACTTTGTCACATTTCTTGACCAAGAAATGAATCATTTTTTTTTTAAATTCTATTTCATTATTTAGAAGAAAAGTAACAAAACATAGCTGTAATCAAAGAGTGGATTAGACTCTTTTAAGGCAGTTTTGACTTTTGCAGTTTGCCTAGTTAATGTTCAATTAGAGGAGCTCTGGTGGTGCAATGGTTAAGTGCTCAGCTGTTAACCAAAAGGTTGGTAGTTAAAACCCAGCCAGCGGCTCCTGATGCTCTCCACCCATAAAGTTTACAGCCTAGAAAACCCTATGGGGCAATTCTAGTCTGTCACACTGGGTCACTATGAGTCAGAATCGACTCAGTGGCACCTAACAACAACAACAATATTCAATCAGATTGGATGTCTTTCAGTCACCTCAGATGTCATATGTCTTGGTCCCCACCTAGCTCCCCATCTGTAATTTCAATTCTGTTTCCTGTGCTGGAAACCTGCTAGCCATGACCCTTCTCTGTCCTACAACCCTCAGATTATGACACTTCATTTATTTTACTTGACAAGCACTACTTAATTCTTCCTGGTCTGAACACTATGCAAGTCATCATGAACCATTATCTCTTCTCTGATTGCTGGTCTCCCCTTTTTTCTCCAGTGCCTTCTTCACACTATACATGGGGGTTTCCTGACAAACACTAATTTAAAGATG